CGATGTTCATCTCGCCTTATTCTGGGTCCGAATAAAACATCAGAACATGCACAGACTATCCTGTCTCTTTGAATTTAAATCTATATTTATTCACACCGGCTCTTGAAAACCTCTATGCCAACACACTTGCCCGAAAAATTGCAGGGGACGAATTAACGTGATATTAAAAGTGGAGGGGACACGTCCCCCGCATCCCCCGCGTAATCTACACCCCTGGTACAGCCTCATATGATTTTACATATATTTAGCATATTGCTTGTGCAATTCATGGTAATACAATAGTCTGCTTGTAAAATATGGGTCCTGAAGCAAAACCAGTTAAGAACACATGATTCTAACAACCTAGAAACAAAACAAAATGACAACAAAAAGAACGCTGACTGATCTGAAGACACTATAATGTAACTTAAAGCACGCTTTCCAAAGAACCATATATAAAACATGAGAAAAGGACCACATAATTCAACAAAGAAACTTTAGTTGAGTGGTTTTCAAACTCTAACCTTATATTAAAAATAACAACAATAAAATACAAAGCACACCTATGAATGAAATGATCTACAAAATAAGATTTAAGTGGAGTCTGCATGTCAGGTAGTTCAGAATTAATTGCAAGTCTAATATTTCAAGTAGGGCTTACTTGCAAGTAACCATATGAAAGCCTCTCTCTAGTGCCCATCACATGGCTTTCTCTGTACCTGCCAGCTCAGTGCTGGTGTAGCATGTGTTTCTACAGTCCTGGTTGTGGGGTTAGCAGTGCTTACATTTCACATCAGCACATGACTATCTCATCTGGCCTCTTGTGACGCATTATCCTTCTGAAAGAAACCGGATGGATGGAGGCGATCCAAGAAATTAGAGGAATGAATGGATGCAGCTGTGTGGTCCAAGACGGAGTTGTTCTCTTTTTCTCTCTCTATGCTTAGTGTAATACAGTGTCTGGTGGATGATTAATCATCAGTGAGTAAGACGAGGAGGGGGAGAGTGAGAGAGTACAAGAGAAATACAAATACAAGAACATTAGACCAAGGCAGCATGTGATTGTTGTGCAATGTCTGACATTATTTGTGTGACAGAAAGATGCAATGACTGTTAAGATGATATATGAACACTTACAGCAGGTCCTAACCAGGCAACAAGTTTCCAGCAACAACTAATTTGTCTATCCGCAATAAGTGCAAAGCTGCTGCACAATCACAGCCAATCAGATGACATCTAATGTATAATATAGTTGTGGGCGGGGTTACCTAGTATAACATTTGTGATTGACGAAATGTCAAGATTTGCATCAAAATTTTCATAAATTGTGCATTACAAACTACATCTTTTAGAGTGGAGCCGAGTCCTTAGATGTGCACCAGCGAACTGCATCCAAGTCTGCTTGAAAAGGTGATTTGGGGTATTGTTCGCAGTTTGTGTGATTTATACTGAAGACCGTTTCCACCACAAAATATAAATGTTAATTGTGACATTTTAACCTCACCATTTTTACTTTTTTCTTAAAAATGAGAAGAAAAATCAGAATGGTGAGATACAAACTTATAATTGCGAGAATTGCAAGATTTAAGAGAAAAGGCAGAATTGTGAGATGTAAACTTGGAATTGCAAGAAAAAGTCAGAATTCTGAATTTATATCTGACAGTTCTGTGTTTATATGACGCAATTCTGAGAAAAAATCAGGACTGTAAGATAAAACATCACAATTACCTTTTTATATGTTTTATTCTGTGATGGAAATGGGCTCAGCAGGTCTCAAATGGTCAAAATACTTTTCAGTCAAGTGTGAAAACAATAGGAGAATTAAGCCAAACCCAATCATATTAGGCAATTTAGAAATCCTGGCCAGGACATCTCTGGGAACAACAAGATATGTGGCCAGCCTAGATTTAACCTCTATAGTCAGTTGTCTTGGTTCATGGCTTTTAACGCTTTAAATGAAGACTTTTTAAAAATCCCTATACGAAGAATTAATGGAAAAATACTTTGTTGCTGAAAAGTGGGTGGGCAGTAATGCGCTACAGCTAAAAAAAAAAAAACATGCACGGATACACGCTACCAAAAATCTTACGGTTTAGGCACTTTCAGCATGCTTTTTAAAAACATACTATGATGCACTAAATCTAATCTTGCATATCATTTAGGACAGATGAATTTCGACGCTGTATACATTTCAATGTGTAAGTGTTATTTCAATCACATTGACCTTAAATGGCCAGCCAGATATGACATTATCTGCAAAGGCTAAGGGGAAAAAACACATTCTCTTGCACCTTTAAATCTTTACTTCAGTCTGACAGTTTGAGACCTTGGCTACTCTATAATAACCTGTTATAACAGAAGTGTATGTTGACATTTTGCACTTTTAGCATATTCTCACTGACACACATTGGTGGTTAATGAATTTGCTGGAGCATGCCTAGAGAACATTCTCAACATGCTGTAAGATACACAGAATATTCCTGCTGCTGAGATGATGACAAGTGAGTGTTCTAATAAGCTTGCTTTAGACAATTTTAAACTTGTTTTACATTTCTATGTCGAGCTGCAAATGGAACAGCTTGTTTTTTTAAGAAGTGTCTGTACTTTGGAAAGCTAACCTTGCTGACATGAGACTGAATGCATGTTTCATTGCTTTAGTGATTGCAAACCTGCTAAAGCAACGCAGGTGCGATGATTTGAAATGTTTGAGATGATAATAAGCTTTCAGTCTGCCTGATGGGGTTGAGGTTTTTTAGAAATGTGCTGAGTTTTCCAAGGCTAACAGCAGCGCCCTGCATAATTTAAGCTCTATTAAGGCACGCTCAGCCAGTGGAAGTGGTGCGAAGCAGTCGGACAGATGAGCTGCTAACATCATTAAACAATGATGTTGCTGTCTTTGAAGCTCTGCATGAAAAACAAGCAATACTATTTAACCATCTATATTTTTATTAATCTCATGCCCTCATAAGTTCAATTATAAAACGGATAGTTCCTCTCCTGGATGCTAATGTCAAAACTTCCACAACTTCAAAAATATATTATTTAATAATTGTTATGGTGTGCATATTCATCATTAGCTATTGTGTACATCACTGCACAGCACCCATAAAATGTTATTATTTACCATGTCAGAGGCTGTATTTTCTAGCAGATGCATGACACTTGGTCATCTAAAAATTAATTTACTTGTTGAAGTTAAGTTTTACATTTATGCATTTGACAGATGCTTCCATCCAAAGTGACTAAATTTACATTTCAAAATATACATTTGTCTCATTATTCTTATTGTTGTTGTTATTATACTGTTTAAAAATAGCCAATATGTAGTATAAATGATTTAGAAATGCAATATTGTGATCACAACTCATGCTCACATTGTAAATATTGATAAATATATTTAGATATTTATATATTCATGATTGGTGATGCAGACACTTTGAATGTATTTTAGTAGGAAATGTATTCTAGTAGTAGATGTAATTTAGTAGGAGAAAAAGTAACAAAGCACAAAGTGTGATTTTTTTGGACGGGAGGTGAGCTACAAATAATGTTTGGTAAATTTCCGTTCAAGCATCAACTGAAAATAGCATAGACTAGCCCAAAAGATTGATTATTTGGATTGTAGAATCGATTGGTTCATCGAAATGAGCATAGATTAAAACCAAGAAATTTATATTGTCAAACCATTAGACCAGGGTAGCGCCATATTTAATTTTTTGACCGGATTGAAAATGAGACAGTTTCATGGTAGTTCAGCTGTCGAAACGTCTTTTTGTTTAAAAAATCTTTCAGTAGACAAAATTTCCATAAAACAGTTTTGGGTTGTCAAGTTGTGGGTTGTCAAAATGATATGATCTTTGATCTTTAAACAGTGCGTTTTAGTGTAAAGACTACGTTTATCCAGTCTTTGGTTTATCCCTCACAGCCTCGTTTTCATCTGTGTTAAATGCAATATGGCATCTGATCTGATTAAGATCTATAGATTTAGCAACCATAGTAATTCCACTTCAACACCATAGGAACTCCCTGACAAATGTAAAAAAAAATAAAAAAAAATAAAAAAACCTAAGCAAAGTTCTAGCAACTGTCTAGCCATATTAAGTAAATAAAGCCAGTATTAGGTATTATGCAGACAATTTCCATGACATCCATAGAAACACAATCTTTTCAGCTTATTAGTCATTCCGGAATGTTTTATTTATTAGCAGCTTGTGAAAATGAGTTTGTCAGATCAGCTCGTGTTACTCTTTTACATAATAAAGCTTGTGTTAATACAGCTGTGGTGAGAAGGATGAGACAAAGCTGTGTGCGCTGTGTGCGCTGTGCCCGTTGTCGAGCACTAAGTTGAATAAAGAGGTGCAGCAACGAAGGTGGATTCTGGTGGGCTGTGAATGTTGCGTGAGTGTATCGAGTGCTTGTTTCTGAAGCGCTTTGGTGTGGGTAAGTGGTCTCGAAGTGTCGATGATGTTGCCGATTATTCCACCCCGTTCGCACACGTGGTTGTGTGTGTGGCAGTTGTTGCCCGGGGCGACGCTGTCATGTAAACAGAATCCTTACAAAACCCTTTCAGTTGAAGTTTGCTTTTTCAATTTTACACCTTTTCTTTCGCACTGCCTTCCTGTCACAGTGTACACTCGTATATGTAAAGGTGTATCATATCCGCCTTTTGTCCTCACATTTCACTTCTGACAAGACGGTTCTTCGCATCCGTTCTGCCTCAGATGTCTCACATGCGTAAACATGAGTGCGGCGCATTCCTTGCCAGCCGAGTGCAGCGTGGCGGCTTTGAGATAATAATCGTGTACGTTGCGTGTGTTGTGTAGCCAGAGACAGAGAAGGACTGATCTGTCTTCTGAGGAGAATCAATTGAGGAGAAGGACGCCCACTATTCTTCCTGGGGACAGCGAACATAATGGGCCAAGGTTGATATTGAAGTTTGCATTCATGCCAACAGAAACCACCACAATTATACGAGTGATGTGGTGCCGAAACCGTCGGCCTGTGAACTGGGTCTTCATAAGGAATATAATGGCTGCTAGATTGATTTCCATTGGATTAACAATGTCAACTTCTGATACATTTGTGCATGTGGCAAATTACAGTCATCTTTTGAATGGCAAGTCATTGAGGGTATTCTGTTTTCTCTGAAAATCAAAGCTCAGTTAGAACTTTGCTTAATAGTGATGATTATCCCATTGACGCCTTTGAGTAAGTCATGTCATTCCTTTACCTGCTGGTTGTTAAAATAGCTACATAAGAATAAAGGGTTACACTTTATTTCGATAGTCTACTTTAGACATTCTATTAACAACTTTGCAAAGGAAGTTCATTGCTGTCAACTGACCATTCGCAAAGACCTGCCCTCCTTAGTTACTGTTGCCATCTCCGACAAACATTGCCACTCTCACACTACACACGTGTTCTCACGCAGTGAAAAATACATTGCAGAGCAAAGAGGAAACTGACAACGCGCCGACAGACAGAGCAGGTCACTTCTGGAATGAAACAAGGTCTGAGGACTCTCAGCATTCAAATTTTGTCATTTTTTATCAAGAAATTCTAACAATAAATACCGTTTTGTGGCTCTTTAATGTGTCGTGACAGATCAGCATTGCCTCAGTTCAAACACGTGAACCGATCGTCTTTTCATATTTACGTAAAGCACGAAATGAACATGAATAAACATCAGAAAATGTTTTATTTCTGCATTGCAAACGGATGAGCGCACATATGCATATACAGCTCCCGATCGGGGCGAAGTTCACGGGATTTTGTCCACAGAATGATAAGAGCACACGTTTTAACATTTTATTATTTAACACTCAGTATTTTAACTTAAGCGCTGCAAGCCATGCATACATTGCCGGACATGACCGATTTTCTGGTACGCAAAACAAGTACTTTAAAGGGGTCATCGGATGCCCATTTTCCACAGTTTGATATGATTCTTTAGGGTCTTAATGAAAAGTCTATAACATACTTTGGTTAAAATTTTTCAATGTTAGTGTAAAACAACACCCTTTTTACCTTGTCAAAAACAGCATGGACAAAAAAACAAACAAAACAAAAAACAAAAAAACAATGGAGGACTGATGACGGCTCACTCAGGGCGGAGCTGTGATAAAACCAAAGACTGACGCCACTGTCAATCAACAATCGTGGGAGGGGCCTGTGCAGAACTACGTCATTCTGCCAAGAATCTGAGAACGGCTTGATAAGAGAAAGGGCTTTGGATTTATTGAGATTTAAAAAAAAGCACTGGGTGGATTTTTATCATTATAGGGTGGTTGTGTACACACACTGCCAACACACATTTCAGTTCAAACAACATATAAAAGTGAATTTTGCATCCGATGACCCCTTTAAAGGAATTCCTTAACTTATTGCTGTTACTGTGGCAGCCAACAACAGCACAGATCAACTCTCCGCACATTTTTATATTTAGTTATACTGAAAAAGTTTCAATTCAGTCAATCTTTTTTACCCCGTTTTAACATGGATTTCTATGGAGACCGACTGTAGCTGTCGGGCAAGATGGCAGATAGCAGCGGCGTTCTGATTGGTCAGATCAATTATAATTTATCTTCACACAGATGTTGGGGATTCTTAGAAACTATCAAACATAAAAACATGACAAACTATTGTTTTGAGAACTAAATGGCTGGTTTTGCTTAGTGGCCTATACACTTTTAAAAGCAAATGTTCCTTATTGGGACCTACGGTTCCATGAAGGATATTTAACCTCCCTGGAAACTTTCCATCGCACAGTAGGTTCTTCATAGTGGAAAAGTGTTCTTTAGATAATTAAAATGTTCTAGAAAAATATTTATTTTGAGAACCATTTACTGAAAGGTTCTTTGGGAAACCAAAAATGGTTCTTCTGTGTCATTACTGTGAAAAACCCCTTTTGGAACCATTAAGAGTGTAATAATGAATGTTAAATGTCTGTGTTGATAACCAAACTGTTCTTTTTAATTGTTCTTGGAAACTGTTGTAAGAATTGTTCCTGTAATTAGTGTACAGGGAGTCATTTTGGATAAAAGTGTTTGCTGATGGACAAATTTGAGGCGAGTTGCTAACAATGAGGTGTAATGTTTGTTCCTCCACAGCCGCAGTCCCATGGGAGAGTTTCCCCCACTAAGACTGTGCAGAATGGGAGTCCCACCAAGTGTCCCAGATTCATGAAAGTGAAGAACTGGGAAACTGGAGCTTTATACAATGATACTTTACATCTCAGCTCCAGCGAGGTATGTTTGATGTTGATTCTAGGTAGGCTTATATGTATGAACTACATTTAGTTGAGCGTATAAAGAAATAGCATCTTTGCCATTACTGACACAGCAGAGCCCTTACAAAAAATTTGGTTTGTGCGCCATTCAGAACTGAATTAAAATGACTTGACACAATACTTGACATTAAGTTTTAATTTCTTCATATTATGCTCTAAAATGATTTTTTTTGAAGTTTTAAATAAAGATTATAAGAGTGTTTCGCAAGAAAACACTATTTCAGCTTTTAATACTTCAAAAATTCTTCATTCAGTGTTACTTGCCATTTCTTTGCAATTATTTAGAAATATTTACTAGCAATTTAAGTGCATATCTTTTCAATCCTACACCATTTTTTAGTGTAATGTTAGTAAACTTGAACTAACAGTAACTAATACTCCAACAGAATTTATTAATTTTAGTTATTGTTAATTTTAACATCTAATAATACTTTTTAAAGTAATGTTTTATCTGTTTAGATTTGTCGATGCACCATTACCATGCACTGACAATGAGCAATTGTATTTTTATTGACCAACATTAACAGAGATTAGTAAATGCTTTAAATTATATATTGCTCTTTTCTAGTTCATGTTAGCTAATGACTTTATTAATGTTAACAAACTATTGTAAAGTGCTGCTACATTTTTTCCTGAATTTGAATAGTATTGAGGTATCAGTTTGTTTTGAATGCAATTTAGGTGTAAGAAAGTAGAAATCAATTTAGATTCAAAGATATGTCAATCCAAACTTTGAACGATTGCTTGATGAAGAGGAACTTCCTCTTCCTGTCATTTCATGCAATGTATTTGCATGGTTGAAAGTCATTAAAAATACCATATTTCCATGTACAATTCCCCCCCAAAAAACACACCATGGTTCTAGCTACCATTGTTGTTTTTCAGTTATTTTTTTCAGTACATTTTTTAGTCTCTGAAGCAACTTAATAAATGTTTTGTCATCAAAATCATTATTTCATTGCTTATTCAGATGTTTCAAAAGTAATACGATAACAACAAGAAAAAAAAAAAAATCAGGAATGGCTCAGTGTCAAAGGTTCACGCGGCGTTCATGTTGTGTCGGAATTACCGTAATTACAAAATAACAACTCTGAGATTCTACTCCTGTTCACAGACACAAGAATTAATTGTTTCTATGGCAACACTCGTAATGCCAAAATGGATCCAAGTGCGGCTTTATTGGTAATGACCGAAAAATGCTACCTTAATTCACTTCTTGCAAAATAGACTGGCTATATTAAAATGCCATTTCAAACAGCGGTTGCCAACAAAGTAGCTTAGCTGCTGCCATCTTGGTTGTTTTTACATTATGCCGCAACAGTTTAGTGGGAGAACTCAAAAAACATGAGCCATTTTACATGTCAAAAACTCATAATTATGGTCATTTTGAAATGATGCAGAACTAGAACTGACTTTTGCTATTAGCATTTGCTTCCAATTTTGCTGCTCGTATAGGATCCATATGTCATAAATGAGCTGAGGTTTAAAATTAGCCTTCGTCTCTCGCTGTAGACGCTAGTCTGTATGACAACATGCTTGCAGAACTCTCAACATCTCTCTAAATCTGAATCATCCTTCCAAGAGGGGGTTATGAAGTTCTGTGCACTTTCGTGAGAGGCTGGCGTTGCATGCTAATTGATGCTAATTACAGATGGTATGATTTATAATATATCACATTCTGAAGGATTTTTGGGTTGCATCTCCAACTTTACAGAATATGACAGCTGCAAGGCTGCATTCACAGTCCCTTATGGTGGGTGAATGTGAAGAATCTAATGAACGTCTTTATTTTATTTTTACCGTTCTTCTGCTAAGCACCATTAGTATAAATGCTTGTTTGGGTAGTTAAAGTCACACAGGTGTCCCAGTACATGCCACAGATGGGATACATGGGTAACTTATAATATGCTGGAGCAAGTAATGATCTGGAGACAGATTACTTTTAGAAAAATTAATGCGGTTTGAAGGCAATGTCAAATCTTTTAATATGGGTAGTGAACAGTGTTACTTTATATTTCATTTCAGTTCTGTATTTCAATAATATTAAGAATAGATCTAGAGTATTCATGTAAATCTACACTGTAAAAAAAGTTTAAAATATCTTTTACAAAAACATAGTATTTCAATTTTCTACTTTCAAATTTCATGTTTAATTCAATGTGTTACTTATGAAAAATTGTCTCAACCATTAGATAAAAATAAAAAGGTAATTGTGCTTTTTATCTCACAATTCTAAATTAATTGCAAGATATAAATTCAGAATCACAAGACATAACCTCAGATTTGTGAAATATAAACTTGCAATTGTGAGAAAAAAGTCAGAATTGTGACATAAAAAGTCACAGTTACCTATTTCTTTTTTTTTCTGTGGCGAAAAAAAACAAAACAGAATTGCTAAATATAAACTCAGAATTCTGTGAAAAAAGTTATTGCGAAATGTAAAATTTTTCCTCAGAATTTTGATTTTATATTTTGCAATTCTTTATTTATATCTGGCAATTCAGATTTTTTCCCCCTAAGAATTACAAGTTTATATCTTTCAGTTATTACTTTTTTTTCCATAATTGTGTAATTAATTGTGAAATTGACTAATAATTTCTGAGCATAAATTGTTTCTGCACCAGTTCTTTTTCAGTGTAATAACTTACCCTTTGTGTTTTGCTTTATGCAATTAATCTTTGTTAGATCCCATGTATTTTGGTGTATGTTTTGGTATGGCTACTTCTTTATTTTGTGTATGACATGCACTTGAAGTTAATGAGAATTATGAGGGTGTTACCAAGATGGCCGTTTAATGAACCCTTACTTTAAAGGGACTTTGGTTCTTTTTGGCTGAGCTACTCTGTCGGGGGTTATGGGTCAGTCATGGTTTAAATGCTTCACCAGACTGAAAGGGCAGTTTGGGATAATAAACCAAGCCAGTCCTTAATTAACAGCACTAACTTGGACAGGCTTGTTGTTATTTTTCAGCTCTGTCTTTGCCGTTCCACCCCTAATCCAGTGAACATATTAGCAGCTACAGAAAGTGACAGTGCACTTCAAATCCAATCTTATTATAGTGACCATATGAGTATTTTCCTCAAGGCGATGACCGACTTCCGTTTGTCTCTTTGTTTCTTCTTATCAGGCTCTGATGAAGCCTGCCACTTATCCAGCCATTGGATGTTCTCAACAACATGTTTTTCATTAGTTTTCCAGGAATATGATCATGAAACGCATATACAATAAATTCTGAAGCTCTGCGTGTTGGTTTCACATGCCTGGATTAAGATTAGAATATGATAAACAACATTCCCAATTTAAAATTTTGCAGAAAGGGGCTATATAAAATAAACGTATTATTGTTATTATTAATTATTATTATTAAAAGAAAGTTCCTTATTGCATGACAATTAAGTGCATTAAGCAGCATGTGAGCAACATATTTGCATTTTTAATTTCTGTAAACATTTGAACAGGTTGCAATGTTGCAATATCTACGAATAAAGACTTATTTTCACACGTTACGTTATGACATCAAAGCACATTTGCCAAAGTAATTTGTAAACTAATTTCATGTATGCATCACATAACCATCTCCAGGTGTACGGCTTTTCTAATGTAAACTTGCTCTGTAGCTCACCTGGTACAACGTTGCACTTTTGTACGAGTGAACCACAGTAAAAGAGCTCAAAGAGATAAAATGGCATGGTTGCTTCAGCAAAAGTGTTTTTATCTCACGTTTGCTTTTGTTAACACTATTGTGTTGCTTTAATGTAGGTGCTGTGTCATTTTCAAAAGTGACAGAGCATTAATCGTTTTGCACTACTGTAACAGGGCGACTGAGACGAGAGACGTGCGGATCCATCTGCAAAGCTTTATTCTTAAACATATTCAAAACAGGCAAGGGTCGGACAATGGCAAACAGGTATTTAGAAGGCAAGACAGAAGAGTGATCCAATAAACAAGCGTAGGTCGATCACCGGCGAACATAATCCAGAGGATGAGGCAGGCGAGTAATTCACAGACAGATATTAATCCAGGCGAGGTGCGAACAGAATCCAAACAACAAGACGAGAGAGAAATCCAAGACAGGCAGGTTATCAGGAACAGGCAATCAGGCAAAACTAGACGTTACGAAACAGGACTAGAAATAGGAACTAGACTAAACTCAGACACTAGATACTGGCTCCGTAAAGTGCTACCTCTAAGAGAGTGATAAACACAGACAATACTTGGCAGTTAGAGAAGGATTTGAGTGGTTGTTATATAGTGTGTGTGTGATTGGCTGCAGGTGAGTCCAATCAGTGCAATGGAGCATGGGAAATGTAGTACAGGGTGACGTGCAACAGTTTGTGTGGTGTGAGAGTCAATGTAATCAGAAGGCGACCTCTGGTGGCGAGCAGACGGAAGACCACGGACCGGATTCGTGACAACTACTCACCAAACATTTCAATTCCAAACTGCTGCAATATGTAAAACAACCAACGTAATAAAATGTTGCCAGATTGATGTAGATCTGTTTTAGTTAAAAATTAGCACGCTTTTATCGCCACACATTGGGCATTTAACTTTGAAAGTGGTGAGAAATGTGCCGGAATCACAATAGCATAATTTTGCAGAAATGTCACCGCTGGCACGTTTTTTTTCCCCCCAGTGAGTTTGGGCCGGAAAGAATCATTGTGCATTGTAAGTAGAGCTGGAGTTGCACACTGAACCAAAGTCCTTTTACCTCAAGTCTGGTTCACCCACCTGATACCCATCTTGGTAACTTACCCAGGCAGGTATTTTTTAGGTACATAATGCACAAAAAACTCTCTCTATTTGAATGGGGAATGACAAAAATCTCCAAAAAAAAAAGGTTTTATAAATATTACGTCTTTGCTAAAATCACACTAAAATGAGTGGTCTGGATGAACTTACCAGAAAATGCCATCTTTTTTTTTATATCGTTTGCATATAGGCTTTACAAGTAACCTAAAATTGCTAGAAAAAAGCACTAAAAATAGTATTTGGATGCAAATTTGCTGCCCCTTAAATTTCATGACTTTTTATAATTTATGGTGTTAATTAAAGGAAGTCACCCAGACATCACTTTATTTTTCTGTATAGACCTCCAGTTCTGATATACAGCAGAAATGCTGTCTCAACTTGTGCCTGCTGTTGCAGTTACACTCCTACAGACACGATATGTGTGAGACAGGCACAATGCTATCTGTAGCACATTTCCGTGAGTGATGTAGCATGTTTGGATTTGCACAGTCTGTCTTCTTATTGTGCTAGTTGCTTTTTGTTTGCAGGTGCCGATCTGCACTGAGCAAGTTTGTATAGGCTCTGTTATGGTGCCAAACCAGCACAGTCGCAAACCAGATGAAGTCCGAAGAAAAGAGGAACTGCTACCGCTTGCAACAGATTTTATTGACCAGTACTACACATCAATCAAAAGGCAGGAGAACAATTTAAATCTAATGCACACTGTATCATATGTAAACATCCTTCATCACTGCAAAAAAAAATACAAATAAATAAATAAAACTACATTTTATATATATGGTTTTATTTTTTGCACTAAAGAAGGATGGTTATATATTTTATATATATTTTTTGTTTTTATATTAAAAAATAATATAAAATAATTTATTTGACAAACAAAACTATGTAAGAAATATTTTAAATGACTTTTTTACACTTTATAATAAGATTCTTTTTATTTTATTTTTTCAGAGAATATATTATTAATTAATTTTATCGTTCTTACTCCATTGCCATTTTTCTTAAAGCTCACAAAATTTTGTTAGATGTTTGCTTTAAAACTGGGCATTCTAAGTAAAGTACACTTAATTCAAGATGCGGTATATATTCTCCAAAAACAAATATCTCAAATGAATTTATGCATTTATTTTTTCAAGACTAAATTATTTATTTATTTATTTTAGCGCTGGGCAACGATTAATTGCGATTAATCGCATCCAAAATAAACGTTTTTATTTATATAATATATGTGTGTGTGCTGTGTATATTTATTATGTATATATACACACACATACAGTATATATTTTGAAAAGATTTACATGTATATGCATTTATATATTTATATTCTTATATTTTATATTACATATAATACATAATAAATATACACAGTACACTACACACATATATATTATGTACACAAACACTTTTATTTTGGATGCGATTAATCGCAATTAATCGTTGCCCAGCACTAATTTATTTACTTTGCAGTACATAACTAGCTAATTGTAATATTTTTTTTCTAAATGTGCTTTTATACGTTTGACTTCTGTCTGAACAGATGCGGCTCAAAGGCCCATGTTGACCGGCTAGAAGAGGTAAAAAAAGAGATAGAAACTTCTGGAATGTATCAATTGAAAGACACAGAGCTGATCTATGGGGCCAAACATGCATGGAGAAATGCAGCTCGCTGTGTGGGACGGATCCAGTGGTCCAAACTACAGGTATTGTGTTTTGTTTTGTTTTTTATTTGTATTTTTTTTTGTATTACATAATTTTTCTTCCAAAAAGCCATCCTTCATTAAACAATTCCCTTCATCTTTTCAAGCGCTACAACAGTGTGATGTCTATTGAAATGCAGTGATAATGAAAAAAAAAAGTGTCCTAATAAGGAATTTCTCCCCTTTGAGGTGTTCGATGCTCGAGACTGCACAACCGCTCATGGAATGTTTAATTACATCTGCAACCACATCAAATACGCCACCAACAAAGGAAACCTCAGGTTAGTGTGGCCATTTTTCATTAGCTCCTTTCTCTTCCTGTCTTTTTCTGCATCTCCTTTTCTCTGCGACTTGCCTTCTTCCCTGTCAAAGTGTGTGTTCCCTTTCTCTCTTTGTCACCTTGCTCCACAGTACAGCACCTGCCAAAGCACTGCCGAGCGCTGGCACTGCTGCCACGTTACAAAGCTAATCATACACGACACTTACTCTCTGTTCTGTTTAATTAGCGTCAGTCTAACAGAATGATTTGAGCCTGAGAGAGTGAGAGAGGGGTGAGGAAAGGGAAAATTAAAACAAGAAGAGAGGAAATGCTCTAATACAGTCAAAAGCCCCCACGCTTGCTTCTTACATCATCAGGACCTGCCAGAATAAACGTCAGAGGTCTCCTACACACTTTTTCCGCACATAAACAAATCAAGGCAACAAGAAAAGCTCCTCTGCGCTTTTTCAAACAGGCTGGTGACCCAAATTTCATCCAGAGTTGTATTTCGAGAGTGACGGGACTTGTTATTTAGATTAGTTGGACTGACACTTTATGCTCTTAGCATATTGTTGAACGTCAGTGTGATGTATTTTCAACAATGAAGCATGATTATGTTTGCTTATGGAACAGACGGGGTTGTTTTATTTCAAAAGTACCTAAAATACTGCATACATCGAGTAACCTCTAATAAAAGCAATATATACTATAAAGCAAATTCTCAACTTCTTGATTGTTTATATTAGGGATGTCCCGATCAGGTTTTTTGTGGCCCCGATCCAATCCAGGTCATTGAATATTGAGTATCTGTCGATACCAAGCCCCGATCCGATACTTGTATTTTCCTAGTGCTTGGTGCACATTTCAAGTGCATTAAAGTTATTAAAATCAATCCAAAATATACAGGGATGTGCAGAGACTTTCTCAGGGGCTCAAATGTCAAAATGGGCATCTATCACTAATATCCAATATAACAATTACTATATACTATACAGTTGAGGTCAAAAGGTCATAATATATATATATATATATATATATATATATATATATATCTTCAA